ATGCAAGTATGTCTCATGCAGTTGGGATTTCTGTCACCAGCAGAAAATGACTGGTGGGGTGTGCTGTATCTGTATCCCTGAGATGACGGGGAGCAGGACCCCAGGCACAGACAGACCACCAGAGCTTGAAGGACAGTAATGTAGCCAATTGACAAGCTCTAGTTGCCATGAGACAGCCTTTTTCAAATAATAAGATGGAGAGTGGTAGAGGAAAAGACCCCAAATTGACCTCTGACTTACACACATACTATGATTGCAGCAGTCACAGTGTTAAATTTTGAAGTTGTGCAATGCTTAGCTAAAGAAAGGACTTAGTGGAATTTGTTGTCTGTGTGTCTTTGTGTGTCTGTGTGTTACACAATTGTATGTAAAAATGTGTGAAGGACAGAGGTAGACCTTGGGTATAAATCCTTACAAGTTATCTGCCTTAGTTAGGGTTTTTATTGCTGTGAAGAGATACCATGACCACGGCAATTCTTATAAAGAAAATATTTAATTGGGTTGGCTCATTTATGTTTCAGAGCTTTGGTCCATTATCATCATGTTGAGGAACATAGTGACATGCAGACAAACTTGATGCTGGCTACATCTTGGCTTGTAGGCAACAGGAAGTTGACTGACAGTCACACTGAGGGAAGCTTGAACAAAAGAGACCTCAAAGCCTGCTCCCACGCTGACTCACTTTCTCCAACAAGGCCATACCTCCAGATAATGCCACCACATTTGGGACCCATTTTCTTTCAAACCACCATACCATCCCTCTTGTTTCTTGAGCCCAGGTCTGTCAATGCCTGTGGTTCTCTGAGCAGGCTGTGATGACTGGCCAGTAAGCCTCTCCTCACCTCCTAGAGTCGGGACTCCATGACTGGGATTTTTACTTGAGTTCTGGCCATTGAGCTCAGGTTCTCATGCTTATACAGCGTGTACTTTACTGACCAAGCCATCTCTTTTCAGGTCCTGAGTGACATTCTTAAAGGCCATCTTGCTCTCCAATTTGTCCCTGTGGACAGCGCCCCCACCATTCACAATGCACATGAGATATTCAACATAGGCTTGTGTAACGAACACATGGTTGTGGGACAATCTTTAAAATTCCCTGTCATCTAGACGTTTTCCTAGCCACTGCAAAGTTCTTGCAATGTTTTGATTAGCACGGTTGGGTTGGGAAGGCTTCACATCGTGTGGCTGTAAGAGGTTGTCCCTGCTTAGATGCTAGGATCCCAGGATAGTTGAGCAGAATGGAGGTGTGCCGGGAAGACAGTGTCACTGACTCCTTCCACTCTTAGGGACAGTACCCTTTCGGAGCAGCCATCTTTAGCCACTGAACCGCATCATTTCATTAGCTCCATGTCCCCAGAGTCATATGGAGTCTTTTCTCTGAGTATAAATCTTGTGTCCATAGGGCACTGGAGCAGTTAATCTAAATGCTCTCTTAGACTCAAAGTGCAGTGCAGACAAAGCTCTGAGTTATGATTCTGGAACTTAAAAAAGACCTGTTTTTTTTCACAGAATATTCTCTTACTAATGTGTGGCACATTCTGAAAGGGAGTGAAAAACTCTAACATGCCAAATGCTCGTGTAAGATTTGGTTGTTTGATTGGGAAATATGCTGTTTTGCCCACAGGAGTTCCTTATGCCAGCTTCCTTTTTAGTTTCAGTTTACCTGACTTGGATGGTGAAAAGCGGTCCTCTAAGCTCTCTGCCATCTGACTCTGATCAGCACTGGCCATTTTTTTTTACCTTAGTACCTTCTGATGACATCTTCATCCGTGGTTCCAGAGCAATCATGAAGAATGAGGCATTAAAAATTGTGGCTGGATATCAAGTGTCACTAATATTTTTGATGCAGGTGTTTGATACTCTGATAAACAAAATGTTAGTGTGTTATGTAAGGTTAGTTTTGATGTCCTTGAAGTTTCACCTCAGAAATTATAATACAGTCTGGATGCTCCATGGCTTCCAGTGACCTCTTTTTAGCTTGAGTCTTTTAAAGGCATTTGAAGAGATCTGCAGCAAGTTAGTGCTGAATCGAACCTCAGAAAGGAAGGGTCTTTAGGAGTCAAAACGAAAGCAAGAATTCATATTAGGGGATAACATGGAAAGAGACAAACAACAAAAAAGAAGCTCTCCCCTCAGGAGCAGGCAGCATTTGCTTTCTGCCAACTGGCCCGTTTGTGAGAACTAGTGAAGTCATCAAGCTATTTTAACCCTGACAGGGCGGGTGCACACAGGCAGCTGGAGGTGCCGTGCAGGGGAAGCACAGGGAAGTACTCAGAGGCAGACAGCGTCCCTGCTGACTGACAGCATCCCTCTTTCACACCCAGTGTCCTCTGGGAAACGGGAGGGCTTGTGTAATGGCCAGGCATGGACAGTGAGCACTGGATCTCCACCCAGCCCATACAGGATACCTCCAACTTCTTCCCCAGCGGGAGGCCAACCCTGTCCACCATGATGAGACCCGTGGGTTGCAAACATGGTGCTGGTGAGAAGCTGAACACAAGTGGCTTTTGTTATTATTATTTGAGATGTGGGCTCAGGTGTCCTAGACTGGCCCAAGCTTGCTGTGTAGCTGAGAATGCCTTCTAACTTCTTGTTTTCCTGTTTCTGCTTGCCCCTCGCCCCAGTCAACTGCAAAGACTGCAACCATGTACCACCATACTTTGTTTTTGCAGTACTGATAATCAAACCCATAACCTTGTCCAGACTAGACAAGTACATTGCCAAATGCACCACACCCCTAGACATGAACTACTGTTTTCCCTATTTTTTGTCTTACTATTATTTAACTACACAAGGTCACTAGTACAAGGGCTCTACTTTGCTAACCCAACTGTATAGGAGACAATGAGCAAATGAAGAAAAAATGTACGTGCATACATACAATCATATATATATATATACATATATATACATACACACACACACATATATATATCTTATCTAAATATTCAAACGAAATTGAATACCATGATGGACAGTGAATCACTTCACAGGAACTGTAAAATAGCAAGCAATATTGGCAAGTTGTGTTTTTAAATTCTTATAAAGCATCTCTTGTAAAAAAATGTTTTGTAACCTGAAATGCATTTGAATTTTCTATGAGCTATGCCTGTGGGCTTATGTCATCAATAGTTGTTAAGAAAAAAACACAAGTAAGTATTTGCTAGATTACAGATTCCTCTGTCAAATGCTGTTTTAACCACTGGTGACATGATCCAAAACTGTGGGCATAGCTTCATCCCTTTAGAGACTCAGAGAAAAGTCCAGAAATGTCAACCAAACAGATAAATTTAGAGATAATGAGACCGAGTTCTGAGTGTAAGAAATTAACTCTTTTTCAGCTCCACTGAGGGAAATATTTCCATTGTAGAAGTGGGGTGCGGGGTACTCTGTGATGAGAAGCTTCTTCCAGTATAGAATGAAGCACGAAGTCCTCTACCACAAGTATACTCTAGGTATAGACAGTGATAGCTGCGGGACTCAGGCCTGATTTTGAAATGACAAGTTAGGGACAGGAAGCTGCTTCGTGTGTTAGAAACAGGACAACGTTTCCACCATCTCAGACAACTGGGCACGATTCTGAAGGCAATTTCATTCTGAATAGCAACCTCTAGTACCAGATGAGATAAAACAAAACTTCCATGAGAGCTTGTATCGTTTTCCATTGTATGATGAAATTCTACAGTTAGGAAGACACAGCCTTTCCATCTTGTATTCAAAAATGGTTGTAGTCTTCAAGCTCTCATATGAAGTCAAGGCATGAATGGGCACATGTGGTGATATTTTGTTTATTATCTAACAAATAAGGCTTGATTGAAGATCAGAGTGCAAAGCTAGCCACACTAGTTAACCATAGAGGCCAGGCAGTGGTGGCACACACCTTTAATTCCTGCACTCAGGAGACAGAGTCGGATGGATCTTTGTTAGTTCAAGGTCCTCCTGGGCTACATGAAATTGTTATAGCCTAAAAGAGAAACAGAGCTCCCACAAAGGTGATCCCAGCACTTGTAGTGCCTTTAATTCCAGTACTAAGGAGATAGAGACAGGAAGGGTTATAGCTGGACAGAGAGAGGAATATAAGGCAGGAGGAGACAGGAGCTCATGGAAGTCTGAGGCAGCAGTCTGAGGATGAAGTCTGAGGACAGCATGTCCCCTTTGGTCTGAGCATTGGTAGAAGTAAGAATTCTGTAGTGTCTCAAGACTTTGCTTCTCTGATCTTTGAGCTTTCAGCCCCTGATAACTGACTCCGGGTTTTTATTATTAAGGTCAATTAGATATTGTGCTACAGGCACATGGTGTTGTAGCTATGGTACCAATGTGCAGTATAGTATAATGCATTCACAGTAATGGAATCTTCATTTGGCTTTCCTAGAACTAGCCCACCAACTATAGCACCAATGTTCAGTATAGTATATTCATGGTCATATAATCTTTATTTGTAACTTCCTTCAAAATAGCCAACAAGTCATATATTGTGAGGTCACTAATTTGTTCTGGACAGAAAGAGATTTGTGACATGTATTCTTTCCTGCCAGCTGCCTGGGTCCTGCCGCTGTCTCTGTCCCCAAATAACACACAAGACACTATATTAATTATGAAGCTGCTGGCTGTTTGCTATGGTTTCTTATCAGCTAGCCCTGACTTAATTATTAACCCACAACTGCTAATCTGAGTATCTCCACCTGGTCTTCTTACCGGAGAAAGGGTCCAGACCTCTTACTCCTCTGGTATCCTACATTGTGACTGACTGTGCCTGTTTCCGAGAATCCTCCTTGACACCTAGTCCCACTTATCTTGCTTCCCTATTGGCCAGTAGTGCTTTATCCAACAACTAATAAGATAAACATATACACAGAAGAAGATTACAAGAGTTTGGGGATTTGCTTGGCTTATGGAGTAATGTTGTATGGTTTGATTGAATTCAGGGTAGAATATGAGGCATTTACAACCACAGATGAAGAAACTGAGATCCCAGGACATCTTTTCTTCTTTTTTCCCAGAGTCCAAGCATCATGGGACTTTGATTCAGCAAATTCTAATTGAGGCTGTTCAGTAACTTGCTCATCATTTTGTGGAGAGAAATTTGGAAAAGTCTAAGGTACCTGCCTTTAAGTATTCCTAGATCAGATTTCTTCCTTTTCTTGTGTTTATAAGGTTCTTAAAGACGCTGGGTTTTGCTGAAGTAGTTAAAAACTGGGATTTGGAATCATGTATCTAAAACAACAATCCAGCTCTACTCTTGCTGTTGTATGAATGTGACAAGTTGCTTAACAAGCCAGGTAGTCAGTCCCCTTATTTGTAGGATGCACTTAATGATAGTACTTGCCTAAAAGCATCCCTGAGAAGTTTGGAAGGAGTAGGTGTGAAATGCCTGGTGTGGTCCATGAGGAAAAAAGGAAAAACTCAATATGCACTATTACTCTGAGGAACAGGGTTACTCCTTTTATTTCATGTGACTCTGTGTTTTGTGTGAACTGAACCCAGGAGCAGTAATTACTTTTACCTGCTGGGTCATCCCAGGAAGGTCGCCATTCTATTGGTAGTATTGGAGGCCCCGCTCAACAATAAGTGTTTTCTTTTGTTCTGAAAGTTCAGGAGCATTTCAGGGAACCTGGGAACCAAAGTACATACTCAGCTCAGTGAAGTTACTGTCCTCTTCACCCTGTGTACTGTAAAATAATTTCCCTTCTCAGAGGCCACAGGAAAAAGTAAAGTTCAGAGTCAAAACCTGGGATCAGAGGGCAATGAACATTTCAAAGATCAAGAAGTGGGAGTGGAGACCTAAACTCACAGTAGCAACTTATTCATCATCATATCATACTGGGGGGGGCTCATCCATTCCTTGTACTCGATTTCTATGAGTGGGATGTTTTCTGTGCATTATTTAAAAGATAAGTTTATTAGGAAAATTCCTTTATACCCTTTTTGCCACTGGGAAAACTGAAGTTCTGAGAATGTCACCAAAGAGTATAAAGCTAAAAAACTATTTGTTGTATTGATTTGGGATTTCTAATTTTTCTCTTCTTGACTCTCTTTGCCTGATTATTCTCTCCACCTTCTCGCCTTCTCCCTTGAGTGTTGGCATCCTCTCATGCAGGTTTCCTTTTTCCTGATCGTATATTGCAAAAGCACCTCTTGGGAAGTTGCTGTCATCTGGGTTGGCATGTGTAGCTTGTAATCCTATCTATTTGGGAGGTGAAGGCAGGAGGATTGGAAGTTCAAGGCTAGCTTGTGCTGTAGGGTGAGTTCAAGGCCAGCTTGGGTAACCTCGTGAGACTCTGTCTCAGCATAAGAAGAAAAGGGCTGCTGATATAGCTCAGAAAGAAAGCACATGCCTAGCACCATTGACATCATGGGTTTAATCACTGAAACCACCAAAAAGCCCCCCAAAAAACAAAGAAATGAACAAAATATATTGTCCCTAGTATCAATCTATTTTATACTCAATGTAAAAAGTAGACAATGTTTTTCTTTTTAATTTCTGTATTCATTTTCCTGGCCACTTTAGACTATTACCAATCTCTGGCCTGTGAATTTAACTCACCTTTTCTGTGTGTCAAGGAGGATGTGTAAATAAGAAAAGTAACTACAAAAAAGTAACTTGGTCCATGCTGGGAGATGAAGTAACTCATTGGTATGCATCTTCCCAACTTCTCATTAATAGCATTTCTCTTTGATCTTAGTACTCTAGCTTCAGGGTTCCAGAGGTACCAATGTAACTCAGTAGCAGTGATGGCTAGCCTTGGTTCATTCCCCCCCATCAGAGGAAGAGCAGGAATATGCCTAGCTGTCAACTTTTACAGTTGCTTTTCAGAGTGATAAACAGGCCTCACTCATTTCCATTTTGGGGTGACCTGGTGCCTCATGTAGACTATGCTGGCCTCCAATCTGATGTGTAGTAAGGATGACTGGACTTCTAATCCTCCTGGCATTATCACCTCTGGTTTATTCAGTGTTGAACATCCATCACTACCCACTGAATGGAGCCCTAGATGCCTTCTTTCACTCTTTTTGTTTCTTTTTGAGACAGGGTCTCACATAGCTAACCCTGGCCTTCATCTTGCTCTACTCAAGAACTTTGAACTCAGCCTCTTGCTCCCTGAAATTTTATGTGTGTGTGTCACCACACCTAGTTTTATGTAGTGCAGGGGACAGAACTCAGGACGCAGTGAGTGTTAGGCATGTACAGCTGAGCTGCATCGCAAGCAGGGCAAGTTTCTTTGGGAGAGCACGTGCTTGAAGAATGGGTTGCAGATTGCAGGCCGCTAGAGTCTGCCCTGAGTTGACCTTGACCTGGCTGCTGGCTTGCACTTTGTACCTATCTGCCAACACAACACAGGCACCGCTTCCTTCCCTTTCCCTTCCCCTTTCCTCCCTTTCCCCTTCTCCTCCCCTTCCCCTTCCCCTTCCCCTCCCCTCCCCTCTCCTCCCTTCCCTTCCCTTCTGTTCTTTCTCCTCCTACTCCTCCTCTTCTTGTTCATCCAAGACTCTGTTGAGTAAACTTTATGATAAGGGAAAGTGAAAAGTTCCGAAGTTCAGAAACAAAAATTGCAGTCAAATATTAGAGCATGGTTTTTACAAGCTGCCTGTCTCATCAAGATCCAGCAGCGTGTGCCTGGCAGGTCACTGTGATCAGGCCATCTTCTTTTCCCTTTCTACAGACTTAAAAGAAATCTGTGCTCCTGGCTTCACACCACACTACAGCTTTCTCTGGCCCTATACTCAGACCCAGCTCTGGGCCTCTTTGGCTCATCTGCAGACCCGTTATTAATATTTTCCCCAGATGTTTGCTTCTCCTCCTACTCCAGGCCTCACCAGGGAGGTGCGAGAATGCAGGTTTATTTTTCCATTGAAATGAATTTCACCCTCCTTTCTCCAAAGGAAGGCAGACATGCATTCCAAATATTTTTCTATTCCCCTTTTACACATGGAATAGAAGTAAAGCCAATCATGGTAAATGCAGTGTTTCAGTCCAGTGGATTTTAGGTGAGCTGAAGTTTCTTGTAGACTTTGGGGGAAAAAAAACATTATTTGAGCTTGACGGTAGCATTGGTAACACAATTTTCATTTTCGCACATTGTGTGTTAAGCCTGTTTGTAGACCAACGCCTGGGAAATAGGGAGATTTCACATCCCTTCCCTGTGCCAGGAGCTCTTGGTGTTGAGCCGAGTTCTTCCACGCTCAAGGCAGCCCAGTGCACAATTTTACAGCTTGTGCGGTGGAAGTTCAATTCTTTACTCATCACACGCCATATGTGTTGTTATTAGTCTCTACTGTAAGGACAATGGTAAATGAGTAATAAAAGGCAGGCCTTACAAACCTCCCACAAGCACTCGGCACCAAATCTCCTAACAGATGCAGCAGTACGAAGGGACGGGCAGACCAGTGGGTTACATGGATGAAACATGACCATTGCTCCTGTCTGCCCCCTTGGTTTTCCTTTCAAATCATGGGGTGTCTTCTCTGTCCGTCTTACCATCTCCTTCTCCTTCACTCTGCCTGTTGGCATGTCCTCCTTCCTCTTCTGTCCCTCCTTGGTCTTTAACACTCAACCCTCTCCTCAATGTCTCATATACCTTCACTCTCATAAAGTTACCTATGGTCAGGAGCTGCATGGTTCCAGCTCCCTCCCTTCTTAGGGCAGGGTCTGCAGGTGTCAACAACCCCATCTCAGCCCCTCTACCCTCCCTCCCTGCCCCCAATCTTCCATTCAACTACCAGGTTAATGCCAGTCTCAGCCCCTTCATTCCCAGGCTAATCCCAATCTCTTCCCCCTGCACTTTTCCCCACAGTCCCAGGTCAAGCCCAGTCTCAGCCTTCACCATTCTTCTCTGCATTCTTAAGCTAACCCTGTCTCAGAACCCCACTCCCTCCAGTTTACCCCAGGTCAAGCCCAGTCTCAAACTTCACCATTCTTCTCTGCATTCTTAGGCTAACCCTGTCTCAGAACCCCGCCCCCTCCAGTTTACCCTGCACTCCCAGATTAACCCTGTGACAGCCATTCCTTCTTCTCCATGCTCCCATGTTATTTGGAAAGCATTGGCACACCTGTCCCAAGCTTGGCTCTTCATGTCTCTCCCTTGTCTGCATTTCCCGGCCATCTGTACACACTCAGTGGGGCTGGCATTTGATTATCAGCCTTGCCTCTCTGAGCTCATCCTAGACCTTATCTTGTATATCTGTTTCCAGTGGCTCCAGAATTGAGACCATTGGTACCACATGCTCTCTGGAACAGCTCAGGGGTTTGATTGAAATGATTCTGATTAACCGACCTAGCTCCCACCCACTATTGCTTACCCTTCCTTTCCTATACCCAAGGGGAAACTAGGAATACATGCTGATCCCTTCTGGTCTGAGCTACTGGGCTTTCAGGCTACAGACAGGCTCAGACTAGCAAAGGCGGAGCACCTTGTAAAGACAACACAGAAAGTAGGTGAAAGGGTGCTGACTGTCCCTACAGTTTGCTTCCTCATTCTGTGGGTGACATGTGTTACATGTGTAATGACAGAGAAATCAGACATGGTGCAGGGGCTTGGCTGCTTTCTGCCCCATCTTGAAGAGAAACATGAAGTACTTCAAATTGTATCTTGAGATACACAGAGGCAGTACCAGTATATGGCTGGCTTAAATATTTTTTTAATTTAGTCTTTTGAGGCAAAATCTCAGTATGTAACCCATCATTTTGTAACCCATCACTATATAATCCATCACAGTGTAGTACATGCTGGGGTTTAGAAATCATTCTGTAACCCAGTCTGGCCTCAATTCTCAACCATCCTCCTGCCTCAGGCTCCAGAGCACTGTGATTACAAACAAGTTTGTTACACAGTGTAAATTTCAGTATTTATGTCTTACTATAGACATCATTGGTTTTTTTTTCCTTTTGATCAATTATCTGCTACAAGATTCTTACTTTTTCTTCAAGGGACTATAAATCAATGGGGTGGATTTAAGAAATAGAAATCTAACTTGCTAATTTATTTGATAATAAGGCTACAAGTCATTTCAGTGAGAGTATAAAGGACAGAACTTGACACATTAAAACTCGAAGGAGCTTTCTTTTCATGGCTTTGCTTTTGATTCTTTCTAAGGTACTCA